CCCCAAAACCCCAAAACCCCAAGTAATTATATGATATGAACATTAAATGTATAAAATATAATTATATTAAATTAAGATTAAAATAATAATAATATCAAATAAACTGTGCTTTTAATGGATTTAAAAAGATTAGCATATGCTATAGAAAATAATAATCTAATTTATCGAGTATATTCCCAGAATAATATTGATGTGTAATTAAAAATGCTTCAATAAATTGTCGCCAAAGAACATTAGAAGTAAACTTAATCGAAAGTTTATGAAAATTGTGCTCAGAGTTTATAGAATGCATTATAAATTAATCCCAATTAAGATATAAGTTCAATCACTATTAATGTAAAGGAGTTCTTTGATATAATAGGCATACCTTTCAATCTCGATTTTGAGATAATTAAAAAATAAGTATAAAAAGAGATGAAGGAATATAAATATTATGGAATGTTTGATTGTGTTAATATTTATAAGAATTGGATTGTAGTTTTTGGATGATTTGGATAATATGTCATCTTTGATTAAGATTTTAAATTTATCAAAACATTGGAATTTCCGAGTATACGATATACAAATATTTGTGAATATAAAAATAGTTTAATAATTGCAATTAGTAATAATTGCTATTGTGTGATTACATTGATAAAAAAAAACAAAAATATAATAGCGTTAGATGTTTTTAAGGCGATTAATTGAGTTCATAATATAATTAAATTGAGTGATGATATATTAATCTGTGTATTAGATAATGCTAAGATACAATTATTCAGTCTTTCTAATAAAAAATACACTCAAATATTTAAAATTAATAATTGCATTTCGACAGCAGAAATATGTTTAATAAAAACATAATGAAATGGATATAAGCTTGCATTTGGTGAATATTTTATAACTATTGCTAAATTAATTAAGAGGAATCGCAAATATTTCAAATTAATTTAGGATTAAAAAGGAAAGATTTAAAAGTACAACAAAATAAGTAGAATTATGGTAGTTAATTCAAAAACTATTGCTTTTACTAATCACGAATATGCATCCTCTGTTTAATTTGAATAAAATCAATAATACCTGGATATAGGTCTAAGTAGATTTTGTGATTGTTGTATTTATCTGCTTTAATTACTCTAGATATGCACCAATCAGCAGAATACCAACTGTAAAGGTGATTCCAAATAAGTTGTGAAACTACTTCATAATCAAAATGCTCAATTAAACTTTCTTTGAGATAGTTATTTCTCCCATCATTCAGTAAATCCCTGAAAAATTAAAAAGTTAAATTACTTGTTTATAATAAATCCTGGTTTATCATAAATTCCATTAGACAAAAATTAAGCCATTTTTAATGATGTATCCCTGCTCTGGTCATTAAAGTATCTACTATTTATAATGTAATGAAATAAGGATACCTTGAATTATCTCCTTTTAATTTGAGATCAAAATCTTATGTATTCATGGACTAATCCATAGCCTCTCCAAAATTAGCGAAATCACACCATTGCCTCCACCACATTGAGCTAATCAAGTATTTTCTCTCGCCTACTTTCCCCTGATTTGACTAATTTACATATTTCAGATTTTTATCATCGTTCCCATACTTTGCTGATTGCTTCTTCATCAATTACTTTATTATGTATTTTTATTCCTTTCCATTCAAATTTTTGCAGTAAGGCCCACATTTCTCTTGAGGGAATTATTCAAGATCTTGATATTTTGTCTATAAATTTAGTGTTTCATTGATAACAATCTTAGAGTTTTGAGATTTTTTCAAATTAATAATGGCAGCCATACTATTTTACGCATTTTGAAAATAGTTGCCAGCATTCGTATCACAACTGCACTTTGACCCTTTCTATTTCAGTATGTCTTGGTAGTTCATAACAGTTTTGTTTTTTATCACTAGAGCTTTTGCTTTATTATGAGGAGTGAATTAATTTTTGACTGATGATATCGAGGAATACTGTGAAATTTGATTATGCAGCTTAATTTACGGACTCCTGTCTCTATTATTTTGAACTTCTACCTTCTCTTCTATGTCATCTTACTGAATTTCACCTGCGTCATCTTCATCTCCTTTTTAATCATAAATGATTTCAATGCTTCTTGTTCTAGAATCTAATTCATCTATTGTTATTTCACAACTTTCAAACTTACCAATGCTTTTGAGAGTGATTGGATGTTTCAAATAATTCAATAGCTTTGGATTTTGCCCATCAAGATTTTTAACAGAGGGAGATTCATTTAAACCTTCAGCAGATATTTCATCCGAAGAGGAATTGTTATCTATTTTCATTTTCTTTTTATGATTTATTGCTGTAACATTTTAAGATGTGTTTATATTTGTAGTATTAGTGTGGAAGTTCAGACTTTCAAAGTTCTCTAAATTAATTGGTTGTTTTGAGATAATACTGTTATCTCTGTTAGACTTTGGTCTCAACCTATTGCTTTTTATCTTATGATGATTTGATTGGCTGCTTAAGCCAGGGTTAATAGAATCTTTTTTAGTTTAGGACAATTTTTATTTTATAATATCAGAGTAATTTTGGGATACTGATTAGATCCTTGTGTGATTTTTAATAACTTTTTAGCCTACTGCTCCAGAATCAGCCTGAAGTATAAAATTAGAAGATTCTATGATCTTTGAATTATCCTTATTAGATAATAGCATGATCACTCAGTCTTATTCCTTAATTTTCTGTATTTACTCAAGCAAGGTTTGTTCTAATTTTTATTGATTAGAGAGTAGTTGGTTCATCATTCTCGTTATATTCTACTCTTGAGCTTCAAATTATTTTTGGAGCTTTAAGTTCTCTTACCTTAGGAGGATGTTTTATGCTTCTATAAATTCCACCTTCTATTCAAGTAACTCTAGTTTATTAACGGATTACTCTCTTTGAGAAACAGGTGAAAGCCCTTGTCCATTTATTGCAAAGATAGTGTTGCTCATATGACTGCTGCTAATGGCATCGCTACTCTCATTTGCTTTTGCAGATGAGCAGTCATTTTTTATCTAGTAGTAAGGATTTTACTTTGCTTACTTAGACTTGAATTAAACAAAGTTATTAGCAATCAACTTGACGTTTGGAGATTTTATTAATTTTTCCTTGCTCTATTAGTATCCAACTTAAGAGTTTATAGAGAAATTAATGTTTTTTAACTTACTCTCATTATTCTAAATAGTTCCCTTTTCCATAACTTTATTAATAAATCCTCGATATCCAGATTACTTATTGGGAGATGGGCTTTTATTCCCCAAGCTACTGTCCCTATTTATAGATGACGAACTATTTTTATTGTCGATTATGGTGTTTGAATATCTCCCTGCAGGAATAATTCTCTTTCAGTTTGGCTAAACAATTTATGTTTTTTGCGCAGTAAATTCAACAGATTCGGTTTGTATCCTGACTAATTCTTATGTCTTTGAGTAAGATCCTCTCTAGTAAGAGGGATTTCTGAGAGATTAGGAACTATTCTACTTCATTAATAAAGTTATTTTATCAGTTAAATTATATAGGTCTTAATACCTTCCAATAAGCAATTCTAGATAAGGGGTTTTGGGGTTTTGGGG